CAAAAGGCACCGAGACAGCCAAAAAAAGGTCTTAATGAGCCCTCCTTCGTTTATTTGTCCCCCTAACAGCTGAACTGTTGCGTCCATTGATGCTGTTCAAAAGGCCGTGCTCTGAGCCCGGCAGGCTCCAGTGGGCATCTTCAAACCGCCGGAGAAAGGGAGCGAAGGAGTGTCTCCCTTGGTGTCACGCCAAGACCAATAAAGCCCTGGCCGATCAGTCAACGAAACTCCAGCCCCCACCATTAGCCCCACTGCCACCACCCTCTCCCAGCCCGCCCCCCTCCCCTCTCATCCATCCCCCTTTGAGATTTATTTCCTGGCTGCAGCGGACAAGGAGGCAGATGGAGGGTTTGGGGATTGTGCAGTAGTCAAGACCTCGTCAACGGCTGTCACAGGAACCCTTGTTGCAGGGCAAACTTGGTGACGGGCGCCTCTTGGTCTCAAGAAAAAAAGAGCTCCCCATCCCATCATACAAACCCAACTCCCTGCCCTCAACGGCTTATGACATCACAAAGGACACTCCAAAACAGGGGCCTGTAGCACTTTTAAAAGAGAATTAGTGGTTTTAATTATGGCCGTCGTCTGAAAGGGAGCCCAGTGGAGTTCACCAGGAGGCCTTTTTGATCAAGGACCTTGGCTAGAACAATGGTGCGGAACTGTGAGTATTCCTCGTACGGAGGAATAGTCGGGGTGGGGTGGGGGTGCGGGGGCTCTCTCTCCCCTCCGCCCCTGAATAGCTCGCCAGTGATCTTTGAATGCCAAGCAAGCTCCTAAAACCTTCCCTCTTCATTAAGCAGACATTTCTATACAGGGGCCTGCGTAAGTGCTCTGGAGTCTAGCGGCTACACAATTGGAGCAGGGTGCAGGGGGGCCGAGAATCCCTACAGATTCTGGCTACTACTTACCCAAGTGCTGAAGGGCCCTGAGTGACTTAATTCATTAAAACAGGTTGCTATTAATTAACTGTCATAATCAAATAAAGAGCCATTATTTGCATTTCTTAACGCCGTTCCCTTTTAGTCCGCAAGCGAGGAGGCGGTGCGTGGAGTGGGGGGAGATTCATTTAACAAAAAATAAATAAAATTGGGGGGGAGGGTTTAAGAAAAACCCAGCACACGCACACAAGAGAGAGAGAGAAAAAAAGAGGGTGAAAAGAAAAACACTCTCCCCCTATTCGCTTTCCACAAATTCTCCTTTTCAACATGTGAGCAGCAGGACCGGCAGCTAATTACAAGGACCAGATCTGCAAAAGGAACAAACAGGGGAGGCAAAACGCAAATAGGAAAGTAATTAGGAAAATGCAGAAATGTGTTTACTTGGCAACCGGTTTGTGCAACTGAGACGAAGGGAACAAGGACGGCCCCTGGTTGTTTGAGAAACTCGGGGAGGCCGGTGGCCCCAGGAGGACCGCCGGAATTAAACTTCTGCCCATTGGCTTCCTTCGAGCACCGCGGCCGCTGCAAGGAATGAGGAGGCCTCACTCTGGACACGCTGGGTGGATGTTTGGTGGCAAGCGGAGCTTTGCTTTCCAGAGGGCAACCAGGGTCGGGCAATCAGTTCGGTAACGAAATAAGGGTTGGGGTTACTGGGAGACTCAGGCACCTGGTGACATTCTACAGGGAACCAGACAGAGGGTCTTCTCGGTAGTGGCACCTGCCTTGCAGAACACCCTTCTGTCAGATGTCAAACAGATAAACAACTACAGTCATACCTCGGGTTACAAATGCTTCAGGCTGCATTTTTTCGGGTTACGGACCGCCGAAACCCAGAAGTATCGGAATGGGTTACTTCCGGGTTTCAGCAGCCGCGCATGCACAGAAGCGCTAAATCGTGCTTTGCGCATACACGCCGAATTGCAACCTGTGCATGTGCAGGCGCATTGCTGCGGGTTGCGAAAGTGCATCCCACACAGATCATGTTTGCAACCTGAGCGTCCACTGTATTTGACTTTTAGGAGACATCTGAAGGCAGCCCTGTTCAAGGAAGTTTTTAATGGCTGGTGTTTTAATGTGGTTTTAAGATTTTGTTGGGAGCTGCCCAGAGTGGCTGGGGCAACCCAGTCATAAGGCGGGGGGGCATATTATTATTATTAACCCTGTTTCAAGAGACTCTGGCCCTTTGTTTTGGGAGCAGGACACTTTGCCCCAAGGATGGAGTTTCCAGGTGTGGGTAAGAGGGCGAGGGGCTCAAAAGGTGGGCCTTTTGTCCTTGCACCAGAATTGTCCCTGGACTCGCAACTCGCATCAGCTCCAGCATGCATGGGCAACAGGCAGGGACAAAGATGGCGGTCATTCCTCCTCTGGTCGATACTATGGATAAACAACCTGACTGTATGCAGGCACTGCAACTGTCTATTCACTCTCAGCGATTTTGCAGCGGCAAGAGGATGCTACAAAACAGGCAGGAAAACAGGGTAATTTATCTGTTTATTCGATGAACGATCGTGCACCCACAGGTTAAGAAAAACACCTCCCAGAGCAGCTAACACAATGAAAAACGAAAACAAAATGGCAATAAACACATAAAAAAAGCAAATGTAGAGGAGCATTAGAAAATTGCCCTTCCAAAAGAATGAGGGAGGTGTTCACAGTGAGATCCAGCACCTCTTTTTCTGGAAAAATAGCACCGGGTTCAACTAATTCTAGTTTTTGTCTCCATCCTCCTCCCTGCTGAGTTCTACAAGGGCAACTCTGAGATTAAGGAGGAGGAAGCTAACAGGCACTGGAGATGGATGTAAGAGACAAGTCAGGCAGGTTGGGGATGTTTAAGAGTCAAAAACAGCACCCTGAATTAGCCCACTTACCCACCAACCCAAAAGAGATGGGGAGCTAGTACAGCTATCCTAAAACAGCCGAAACGCACCCAGTCCCAGTTAGCAACCTAGAGGGTGCGTTTTGTACTAACCACAGTTTCCAAACTCAATGACAGCTCCACATTCAGTGCATTATGAGCATATGAAGCTGCCTTCTACAGAGTTAGATTATTTGTTCATCTAGCCCAGTATTGCCTTCTCTGGCTGGCAGTAGCCATCACCATAAGGATAATGAATTTTGTATTGATGGTGAGTAATCCTGATTGAAGACCGAAGGCCAAAATTCACAGGAAGATATAAGCTGCTTTATACCATGCCAGGCCAATGGTCCATATAGTTCAGTATTGTCTGCACTGACTGGCAGCAGCTCTCCAGGGTTTCAGGCAGGGGGCATTCCCAGCCCAACCGACAGATGCTGGGGATTAAACCCGGGACCTTTAGCATGCAAAGTGGGCGCTCAACCGCTAGATTTATGGTCCCACCCCTTTGGATAATTACAACAATCCTGGGATGCCACCAGAAAATTTGTAACTTTTGTTCGGAGGCTGCAAATGGAGCACGGAAAGGAGCGCTGTGCCGATGAGGCTGCTTGGCTCTCCAAATAACGGGCTGGATTTAGTAGCCCTCAAGAGACTCCATTGAAAGTTCCCATCGGCTCATTTGCAGGGGACTTATTTGGCAATGAGAACGGCCCCTCCGATCGCTCCCGATCTAGCCGAGGGGTGTTGGCACATCTTCCCGTCAAGTCTTTCCTTCACTTCAATTCTCAATGCATTTCCCTGTTGCTTTTCTGACTGCAAAAAGGCTGTTCCTTTCTGAAAGTGGATTTGTTGCACTTGGGCCGCAGAACACTTCCATCCGTTTTAAACACATGCCCTTCAATTTGTGCACAAACTACTGAGAGCATTGGATGACTAAAGGTTTCAGTAAGGTAAAGGTAAAGGGACCCCTGACCATTAGGTCCAGTCCTGGCCGACTCTGTGGTTGCAGCGCTCATCTCGCTTTATTGGCCAAGGGAGCCGGCATACAGCTTCTGGATCATGTGGCCAGCATGACTAAGCCGCTTCTGGCGAACCAGAGCAGTGTACGGAAACACCGTTTACCTTCCCGCTGGAGCGGTACCTATTTATCTACTTGCACTTTGACGTGCTTTCGAACTGCTAGGTTGGCAGGAGCAGGGACCGAGCTACGGGAGCTCACCCTGTCACGGGGATTCGAACAGCCGACCTTCTGATCGGCAAGTCCTAGGCTCTGTGGTTTAACCCACAGCACCACCAGTACTATTGGCAAAAAGAGAAATGCTTCTCTGTCTACTTTCCCAGCTTGCACATTGTTTTAGTTTGTTTGTTTGATGCCATTTCATAAAGCCTCTATCATTTCACCCCTTTCTTAGACCCTCCCCCAGTGCCAGATTTATGGATAAGCTAGCAGTTCGAAAGCACGTCAAAGTGCAAGCAGATAAATCGGTACTGCTCCAGTGGGAAGGTAAACGGTGTTTCCGTGCGCTGCTCTGGTTCCACATGACCTGGAAGCTGTACGCCAGCTCCCTTGGCCAATAAAGCAGGATGAGCGCCGCAACCCCAGAGTCATCCGCGACTGGACCTAATGGTCAGGGGTCCCTTTACCTTTAAACAAGCTAAAGCTTAGGGCCCCACTCTCTTGGGGGCCCCCAAAAAAATTTAAAGGGGAAAAAAATGGATGTACATTTCCAAAATATAAGATAAAAAACCAATAAAATAAAACCTACATACAGCAACAGTGCTTTGTGTTGTGTAGGCTCCTATGATGTAAGTCATGGGCCCCGCCTGCTAGCCTGCTCCCTAAAATATCACTGGTTTGCTCATTTCTGTATCAATTACTTTGATAAAACACATATTTTGTTATGTGCAAATGGCTTTAGATACCTACTAGGTCCATCAATTACCATATAGAATATATTCAACAGAAAAAAACAGCGACCATTTGTTGTTGACAAAGGACAGCTGGACGTATAAAGGGCCCCATTACCTTCAGTAGCTGAGGGCCTCATCAAACCTAAATCTGGCCCTGCCCTCCCCCCATTTTTTTAACAAAGTAAGCAACCAAGAGGTTGGCTTCGCTTTCACCCATAGACCGCTCAACTTAGCTTTTCTTCCTATATTTCATTATTTCCCCAAGAGTTCTTTTCTATGTGTTGTCCACAGCTCCTTCACTTTGTGCTTTGCTGAAAAGTCTCCCCGCCCTTTTTCATTTGTCTCAACCCCTGAAGTTCCTTCTTCAGGTGTTTCACGGCTTGCAAGATACTGCCTTGCTGGGGCTCATCTGCTGCTTTCTCCGTGTAGAGGAGGAAGTGCTTGATGGCTTCTGACAACAGCAGTTCCGGGTCTTCCCTTTCCGGCTGAAGGTGCAACATCCTCTCGCAGGCAATCGCGTAGTTCTTGTGCCAGTTGACCGGGTGCACTTTGTGGGTGCTGACGATCTCCCTGTACAGCTAGGGACAATGGAGGGAGAACTCAGTTTTGAAGACTCTTCCGAACAGGATGGATCTGATTTAAATCACTAGTCAAATATTTACAACCAGATGAAGGTTTCATTTTGGGAATAATAAATTTTCAGAGTAGTTTTTACAGTTACAGTGGTACCTCTGGTTACGTACTTAATTCGTTCCAGAGGTCCGTTCTTAACCTGAAACTATTCTTAACTTGAGGTATCACTTTAGCTAATGGGGCCTCCTGCTGCTGCCGCCGCCGCCGTGCAATTTCTCTTCTCATCCTGAAGCAAAGTTCTTAACCCGAGGTACTATTTCTGGGTTAGCGGAGTCTGTAACCTGAAGCGTCTGTAACCCGAGGTACCACTGTATATCAAAAATTACTGATTTGGTTATACTGTTAGAAATACATAGACCGATCATTATGAAATTATTGTGAGGTTTAGTAAGTTACCGTATACAGTGGTACCTCGGGTTACTTACGCTTCAGGTTACATACGCTTCAGGTTACACACTCCGCTAACCCAGAAATAGTGCTTCAGGTTAAGAACTTTGCTTCAGGATGAGAACAGAAATTGTGCGGCGGTGGCAGCAGCGGGAGGCCCCATTAGCTAAAGTGGTGCTTCAGGTTAAGAACAGTTTCAGGTTAAGAACGGACCTCCGGAACGAATTAAATATTTAACCCGAGGTACCACTGTATATCCGAGTATAAGCTGACTTTTTCAGCACATTTTTTATGCTGAAAAAGCCCCCCTAGGCTTATACTCAAGTGTGGCGGGCGGCGGCTGCTGCGCTGTGCCCGTCCCAACCGCGGCTCCCATGCCTGCTCTTGTGAGCGGCAGAGGCAGCGGCGGAGGGACGATGGGCCCGAAAGGAGCCCCTGCTCCTTCCTCCTTCTCTGCCTATGCCGTTGGCGGCGGCGGAGGAACGAGCAGCCCGAAAGCAGCCCTTTTGGGCTGCTTGTTCTTCCTCCGCTGCTGTAGCCACCACCCATAGCTGTCAACGTTTCCCGTTTTTTAAGGGAAATTCCCTTATTCCGAATAGGATTCCTCGCAAGAAAAGGGAAAAGTTGACACCTATGCCACCACCAAGTTTGTGGTATGGTGAACCGGCTTATACTCGAGTCAATAAGTTTTCCCAGTTTTTTGTGCTAAAGTGAGATGCCTCTGCTTATATTCAGGTCAGCTTATACTCGAGTATACACAGTAACTGTTTATATTTGGACAACTTTTCCACTGCACTTTATTAGAAGGAGAAAAATAATAATTTCCTTAATAACAATTTAAACAATCTATTTAACTAAAACAATAACATTATAGCATATGTATGCATGTTTGTTGACTAATGTGGTCAAACTTTTTTTTATAAAAAAAACTTAGACTGAGTTTTAGCACACATGAAAAACTTAAAACAAATTCTTATTTCCTGATGAACAGCCTTTGGACAATAATGTAACTTAAATAGAAAACTATCCGTAGAAATATTTTTCCTCCAAAAGCATTTTATTTTAAAAATCTGATTTAAATTAAAAAAAATTGATTTAAATAGAAAAAAATCTGATTTAAATAAAAAAACTTTTTTAAAAAATATTTTTTTAAAAAAACATTGATTTATATCCACCCTGCTTCCCAAACATTTGCAGAAAACCTGCAGAAATGTCGCATGTTCGTACCATGCCCTCATTTTTCTCAAATTTTAAACTAACACTCAGGTTATTTTTTTAAAGGTCACGCTTGATGCACCAAATATCCATAAAAAATAAGTTATGTATTCGTTCAAAACTGCAGAAAAGTAGTACATGTTCAACAAACACACATCGTAAGACACAGCCCAATCTGATGCATATCTATGAAGAGGGAAGTCCCGCTGAATTCAACAGGACTTACTCCCAGGTAAGTGTGCACAGGATTGAAACCTTTGAGGTTTTGTGCCTGCAGCTGACAAAGCCTCAGGCAGTAATTGGCTGTGGTGCTGTGATGCCACAGGAAGACTGGTCCAGCAGAGCGAAAAGGAAGGGAAATGAGAGAGCTTTGGAAAGGAAGATGGTAGGGAAGGGAGCGAAGAATGGAAGTTTCCTTGGGGATCCAGGTCAGAAAGCAGGACAGCACTCCATCATACACACTAAGCCTTCCTCTCTGCTTCTTTAAGTTAAAGAATACAAGGTACCTACCTTGTAAGAGTATGTATAAAGCTGGGCTTTCACATCCGTAGACACACGAGCCGTTTCCGCTAGGTCAAAAATGAAGAAGGCTGTCTTCATCCTGCAAAAAAGTGGAAGCTGTTAGGAGCTCAGCCTACACTCGAGTAGGACCCTGGCAGAGACACATGCCCGACTGGCACGTTCTCTCCCTCCTGGTCGATCGTTCGGGAGCTTCAAAAGCTTTCTTCTGCCCGAACGTCACAGCGACCGATGCCAACTGACACTGGCACACTCAGGGATCCGCAGAGTTTGCGCATCATGCGTAACAGACCTCAGCAACTCAGCATTTTGACTAATCTACTTTATTTACCTATAAACACACACGGAGCACTGCAACAGGGCTCCCTCTCTCTCTAGCATCAGACAGCAAAGAGAAAAAGAACAAAGGACAATAGTCCCACTACATGGAACACAGTAACACAAACATCCTGTCTCCATCACTTCCCACTCTGTGGAGTCAAAACATAAACCGTCATGTGATAGACAATAATCCCATGACTGCAATCACAGAGCAGGAATTCTAACCGAAGCACATTACTGTCAGGGTTAAGGGTTCTTTAAATACCAGCTGGTGCCCCTGAACCAGGGTGGGCTGAGGACACGGAGCCAGAGAAACTATGCCAGAGGTGTGGTGCCCAAGATGGCGGCAGTATAGAATAATAAAATTCTAGAGTTGGAAGGGAACTCCAGGGTCATCTAGTCCAACCCACTGCAATGCTGGAACCTCAACATGCAGGGGGCCCCATCCAGTTTGAAACCGTACAGGACCCTGCTTAGCTTTGCAAACAGGCTAGCAGTTGTATTGCTGTATTATTGCTGGGTTGGGGCTAAGCTAAGGAGGCTTCCAAGCAGCCTTCCTCTACTTGACGGTGTTGGACTACAACTCCCATCATCCCTAGCTAGCAGGACCAGTGGTCAGGGATGATGGGAGTTGTAGTCCAAAAACAGCTGGAGACCCAAGGTTGAGAAACACTGCTTGAAATTATTTGCATTCACAAAGGTTCACGCAGACACTATTTGCATTTGACTGCAGGTCACCAAATGCTGCTTCCTATATTTCTCCAATGCCTTCATTGTGTCACCTGCTTATTAATTACAGAACTGCGGAGTTGGAGGGGACCCCCAGGGTCATCTAGTCCAACCCCTGCATTGCTGGAATCTCATCACTGAGTTCCCCCACCCAATTTGAAACCATACGGGACACTGCTTAGCTTTGCAAACACGAAAGCAGTTTTACTGCTGCAGCTTCTGGCGCAATTATCACAGGAAGGTAGGAAGCTGCCTTATGGCTGGACCATTGGCCCATCTAGCTCAGTATGGTCCACACTGAACGGCAGCAGCTCTCCAGAGTTTCAGGACAGGGGATCTGGAGATGCATAGGATCGAAGCTGGAACCTTCTGTGTGCTCCACCACTGAGCCATGGCCCTCTCCTTAAAGGAAGCAACCTTACACTGTGTTGGGCCATTGCTCAATTGAGCTCAGGGTCGCTGATTCGTGGTGGTTCTTGGGGGGTTTCAGGAAGGGGCACTCTCAGTCCTACCTAGAGATGCTATCAGGGACTGAATCAAAGACCTTCTGCATTCAAAGCAGGGGCTCTGCCACTGAGCTATAGCGATTCTTCAACATCAACTTCATTGGACTGGTCATGTTGTTCGGATGCCTGATTATCGTCTTCCAAAGCAACTACAGTCATACCTCGGGTTACAGACACTTCAGGATGCATTTTTTCAAGTTACGGACCCACCGAAACCTGGAAATACCAGAACGGGTTACTTCTGGGTTTCAGGGGTCACGCACGCACAGAAGCGCTAAATCACAACCCGCGCGTGCGCAGACACGCTGCTGCAGGTTGCGAATGCTGCAGGTTGTGAACGTGCATCCAGCACGGATCACGTTCGCAACCCGCGCGTCCACTGTACTCTACTTAAAAATGGACTACTTAAAAACTACTTAAAAATGGAAAGCGTAATGCTGGTGGTCAACAAAAGAGGTTTAAAACTCTAATCTAAAAAAAATGTAGTATAAGCACTGACAACTGGGAAACACTGGCCTGCAATTGCTGTAATTGGAGAACAGCCTTCGCCAAAGGTGTCATGGACTTTGAAGACGCTCGAACTCAGGACGCAAGGGAGAAACATGCTAGGAGGAAGATACGCTTGGCAAATCCACACCGTGATCAACTCCCACCTGGAAACCCATGTCCCCACTGTGGAAGGACGTGTGGATCCAGAATTGGCCTCCATGGTCACTTACGGACTCAATGCTAAAACCCTGTTTTGGAAGACAATCTTACTCGGCTATGAGGGATCGCCAAAGAAGAAGAAGAAGAAGATACAGTGGTGCCCCACAAGACAAAAAACTCGCTAGACGAAAGGGTTTTGCGTTTTTTGAGTCGTTCCGCAAGACGAATTTCCCTATGGGCTTGCTTCACAAGACGTTTCGAGTTCTTGCGAGTTTGTTTCCTTTTTCTTAAAGCCGCTAAGCTGTTAATAGCCGCTAAGCCGCTAAGCTGTTAATAGCCGCTAAGCCGCTAATAGCCGTGCTTCGCAAGACGAAAAAACCGCAAGACAAAGAGACTCGCGGAACGGATTAATTTCGTCTTGCGAGGCACCACTGTAGTCGTTTCCCAAATGAAGGCCCGTGTGGACACCATGGTGTCTCCCTTCCTTTAAAACCCATTCAGAAGGGGAAATGTGGGGGGTGGGTGGATTGGGGGCCCTCACCTGGCTTGCCACATCTCTTCGTTTGCCACCAACTCCCATGAGGATGAATCGAACCTTTAAGAAGTGAACAACAGGAGCTGATTAACTGGATCATCAGACATGAAAAGGTCACAGAGAGACTGAGAATATTAAACAGGGTCACGCTGTACAAACACTGGAATTTGGCGCTCAAAGACATTCTGCGTCGGGGACAGCAGAATTCTGTGGGGCGCCTGAACTGTGGGATGTCGAGCGCATTTGCACACCATGTCTCATTCTGCAAAGCATTCTGTTATGATGGAAGAGCAAAGAGCAACACGGGACAAAAAAACACCCCTCCCTCTAATTCTTATTTAGTTGCTCTGGAAAATGAAGCGGGATCTCAGACGGCTAGAGCGAGTATGGCGACGGACTCGTGACGGAGCCTCAAGAACATCTTATAGGACGCTTATGAAAGCCTATGAGATGGCTATGAAAGCTGCTAAGAAATCTTACTTTGCAGCTTCCATTGCATCCGCTAGCTGTCGCCCGGCACAACTTTTTAGAATAATTAGATCAATAACGTCCTTAGGAGGACAACCAAATTTAAGCACAAATTCGACCCACAGCTGTGAGGCATTCGTGAGCTTTTTTGCGGAGAAAGTCCTGTTGCTCCGCCATGACCTCCCTGCCAATTTAGATACAGTGACTGAACTGGAGGCCCCTTGACTGACTTCAGGTCCAGTGTTGGACCATTTCGATCGAATACTCCCTGCTGATGTGGATAGATTCCTCCAAGTTGGTAGGCCCACCACCTGCCTCCTTGATCCGTGCCCGTCTTGGCTGATTAGGGAGTGTCCAGATGTTGCACGGACCCCCCTGGTTGAAATTATCAATTTGTCCCTTGACACGGGGACATTCCCAGGTAGACAGAAGGAAGCAGTGGTATGTCCACTCTTAAAGAAAACTTCATTAGATCCCTTAGACCTATCCAATTACCGCCCAGTTTCAAATCTTCCATATCTGGGTAAGGTAATTGAGAGAGCGGTTGCTGAACAGCTTGGTAGGTTTCTGGAGGAAACATCGGCTTTAGATCCATTTCAGTCCGGTTTCCGTCCTGGTTTTGGGACCGAGACGGCTCTGGTTGCCCTAACAGACGATCTCCGTAGACAGCTGGATCGAGGCGGGTCAGGACTGGTGATCCTTTTAGATTTGTCAGCAGCCTTTGACATGGTCGATCATGATCTTCTGGACCACCGCCTTGCAGACGTGGGGATACAGGGCATAGCCCGTAACTGGCTGTGCTCTTTTATCTCTGGTCGGGGACAGAGGGTGGCACTAGGGAGGGAAATGTCGTCGCGCCACTCCTTGGTGTGTGGAGTGCCGCAGGGCGCAATCCTCTCCCCAATGCTTTTTAACATCTTTATGCGCCCCCTTGCCCAGATTATCCGGAGCTTTGGGCTGGGTTGTCACCAATATGCTGATGACACTCAGCTCTATCTGCTGATGGATGGCCACACCGACTCGGCCCCGAACACACTGACCAGATGCTTGGAAGCTGTAGCTGGATGGTTTCGTGGGAGCCGATTGAAACTAAATCCTTCAAAGACAGAGGTCCTATGGCTAGGTCAGGATGGCATGGGGATGAGGGACCAACTCCCTTCTCTTGTGGGGGCCCAATTAGTGCCATTGCCTTCCGTTAAGAGTTTGGGTGTAATCCTTGACGCCTCCCTTTCCATGGAGGCGCAAGTTACAGCAACAGCCAAGGCGACATTTTTCCACCTTTGCCGCATCAAGCAGTTGGTCCCTTACCTTTCCCGCCCCGACCTGGCCACAGTGATCCATGCAACGGTCATCTCCAGGCTTGACTACTGTAATTCGCTCTACGCAGGGCTGCCCTTGAAGCTGTCCCAGAAACTCCAGCGGGTGCTGAATGCTGCAGCAAGGCTCCTCACGGGGTCTCTGCCATGGGAGCATATTCACCTAGTGCTTTTCAAGCTGCACTGGCTCCCGGTGGAGCACAGGATCAGATTTAAGGTGCTGCTTTTGACCTTTAAAGCCCTTCACGCCCTAGGACCCTCGTACCTACCGGACCGCCTCTCCCGGTATGCCCCATGGAGAGCCTCAAGGTCCATAAATAGCAACACCCTAGTGGTCCCGGGCCCTAAGGAAGTTAGATTGGCTTCAACCAGAGCCAGGGCCTTTTCAACTCTGGCTCCGGTCTGGTGGAACGCTCTGCCTCATGAGACCAGGGCCCTGCAGGATCTGATTTCTTTCCGCAGGGCCTGTAAGACAGAGTTGTTCCGCCTGGCCTTTGGCTTGGAGCCAATTTGATTCCCTCCCTCTTTCTTTTTTCTTTTCCTTCTCCTCCTGCGATGAGGCTACATTTAAAAATTTTAATGTTTCAATATTTTAATGTTGTATTTTTAATTTTGTTTTTAAGTTGTAATCATTTAACTTGTTTTTATTATTGCTTGTAAGCCGCTCTGAGGCTGGGGAGGGCGGGGTATAAATAAAAATTATTATTATTATTATTATTATTAAACAGGACATAGACTTTTGGATTTTCCAGCTTGTAGCTGAAGCTGCAGCTTGGGATTAAAGATGGCTCTGTTCTCTCAGAAACTGAATAGCCAAAACTGGCTAGAATGGTCATTTGCAATGGAATTCTTGCTGGTGGGAGAGCAATTATGGGACTTAGTACAAACCCCACAGCCTGTTGCTGTACATGCACAGGGGAGAAAGGCTGAAGTTCAAAATGAGCTTAAGCAGCGTTTGATCAGAATTCTGGCGGAGAATGTGGAAGCTTATCTTGAGCCAATTCTGTTGGGTGCTGAAGAGCCACAAATCGCTTGGCAATCCCTCCGGGAAGCTTGTGTAGCTGGGATGGGAAGCAAGGGCCAAGAGTTGACTGCACCACCAGAGAGAGCCAAGAAAGCAATAGCCAGATTCTTGGAAGCTCATTGAAAGCTGAAGAGAGCTTTGACCCCAAAAGGGGGAGTGAAGGAACTGTTGCTGCTGTTGCTGTTGATGTTCCTGTTCTTGCTGCAACGGATGTTGCTGACAGGGGGAGTGCGGCTCGGAGTTGTAGCGCCCCCACTGCTATTGCAAGAGAAGAGCAAGCTGAAGCTCTGAATGTTGTTTGTTGTTGCACTTGTGGCCAGCCTGGGCATCTACAGAGGGACTGTAAGAGGCCACGTCAGCAGAAAGGAGCTAAGGGGAGCTCTGCAAAGCCTGAGGCATCAGGCAAGACTCATACTAAGTCCCAGGTGGAACCAGCTATGGCTTTGATGTCACTAAAAGCCACACCAGAAGTGGAAAACGCTTTTGTTTTGGACACGGGCTGCACGCAACACATGACGTCGTGCCGAGAACTGTTTTCTACGTTTAAGAAGCAGCGCTTCACTGTGAAACAGGCCAATGGCCAGGAGCTGAAAGCGACCGGGTTTGGAACTGTGTATCTTGAAAGTCTGAACTTGACTATTTACAATGTGTACTTGGTTCCTGATTTAAAGTTCAATCTGCTGAGTGTTTCGTAGATCATAGGACTGATTTTGTCCTATGATAGAGAAAGCTGCAAAATCTTCAAAGGTGGAGAGCTGTATCTTTCTGCCAGAGAGAAAGATGGACTGTATTTGTTGACTTTTGATCAAAGTGATTGCATAAATTGTAATGCATCTGAATCTAAAATGCTTTCTCTTGCGGGTATCTCGAAAGAAGACACGAGAGGAAAGGCAACAAAGATTAACAGTGTTTTTCAGCGAGTGTATGCTGATGTAATTGGTCCTCTAGCACCTTCTAGAGGCAATGCAAAATACTATCTTATATGTGTTGATCATTTTTCTCAATATGTATGGATTTACATTTTGCAGAGTCCCAGAGAAACCTTAGAAAGGTTTAAGGAGTTTTGTGATAAGGTTAAGAATATTCATGATGCTAAAATTGATTTTCTTTTCACAGATGAGAAGCCAATTTTTCTTTCACAGGATTTTCAGGATTTCCTTGAGAAGCAAGGGATAGAGCACAAGGTTGCTGTTTCGGAAGCTGCATGGAACAAAACTGTTTGTGTAAAAGTGAACAAAGAATGGCAGAATGGCATGAAGGCACAATTGCTGAGTTCACACTTGCCACATGAGTTTTGGGCTGAATCTTTATCATGTTTTTGTTACACTTGGGTGAGAAAGGTTTCAAAAGGTATGGAATGTTCTCCTTTTGAGAGGCTGTTCCACAGAAAACCTTCTCTAGCACATTTTAAGGTTTTTGGATCTCAAATCAGGACTGAAGCTCCATATGGAATTAAGAATGCAAGAAGCATTTTTGTGGGTTATGAAAAGGGTCTCTACAGAGTAATTTTGTCTGAATCTGGTCAGGTGATTCTCACAAAATTTCTAGAGAGTGCTCCTGAACAGGAGAGAGTAATTTTTCACACATTTCCCACTTCTGATGACAATTCAGATGATGAATTTGATTATTCTGATTATAGTGGTACTGAAAGTGACACAGAAAGCTCAGAGAGTTCTGTTGACACAGTCATTGAGAAAGGTTCACACACGATGACTAGATCTTCACAGGTTAAGGATGAACCATTGTTTACTATTGGAACTGGTTCTCCGAAAAGTCCTGAGACTGAACCAGTCAACAAGGAGGATCAGCACCTCATACGCAGGTCTGAGAGACTCACAATGGGCGTACCACCAAAGAGATATTCTCAAGAGTTTGCTAGTTCAGCTGTTGCATGTATTGCTATTGTTGACAACTCAAGCCAGGTTACGGGTATGTCTAAGTCAGAGACAAAGACACAACAGGGAGTTGCTAAACGTAACACAACATTCCCTAACCAAGGTAATGCAGAAGCACTCGTTCCTTGGAAAACAGATAACCAGAGAGTTACATTGGTGAAACCAGTGGCGGGTAGTTCCAAGGGTAGAACTGAAACAACAGGGGATTGTTACATGTATAACAACTGTTTGTTTTCTTCTCTGGATCAAGCTTTGTCCGCAGCTAACGATGATTCATATGGGGGAGGATGTCAGTATATGGAAATATCACAGCTGCAGACACCCAGATTGTTGACATCACATGATGTGCCTATCTGTGGGAAAGAAGAATTTCCCAGAACGTTCACAGGCTGGATAAGTCTTTGTGAAGAGTGTAACTTGAAACCTTCCGACTGCACATGCTCAGGAAGTTTGTCAGACGTGCCAGAAGAACTGAACTGAAAGGACGTGTTTTTCTCTAGTGCTGTAATGTCAGAAATAAACATCATGTAAATAGATTTCTGACTTATTTTCTTTCCCCTGCGGAAGCAGGAGGGAGGGGTTGTGCATTTTACCCACGCTTGGGGAAATGTCGCCTATCAAAATCTCCCTGGTCTGTCCGGGAAGTCAGCCAGAGGAAAGCTCCGAGGACAGTGAGAGGGGCCAGCCTCTATGGAGGGTGCTTGCAAACCAAACATAAGCCACCCCACCCCCCATTTCTGAGGCCAACACCATGGCTCAAGAGCTAAGGTTGCCAAGGAAGATTGGGGGCAACTAGGCCAGATGTAACTGCACCCAAGTTCCTCATCCAGGTTTGCGAACTTTCAAACCCAGCCACCAGTTCTGCTGTTCTCACCTCCCATATTCCTCGCTCCAGTTATAGAGGTTTCTGGTTCTCTCAATCCACTCTCTGGGGTCGAAGGGAGTTTCCGAAGGCACCAGCTTCTCACAAGAGCCCCACGGCCAAAGGGAGTGGCTTTTCTTCCAGGTGGGGTCACCTTCGTGGAGCCCAATGCAGACAAAGGTTTCTTTGCTGTTGCAAACAAGCCACACACAAAAAAAGCAAAAGCAAAATATAAATGGGAAACTGGAGCTGCAAAAAAATCACCACCGCCAATATTATCAATATCATCAGTATGCAGATGACACCCAGCTCTACCTCTCCTTTAAATCAGAACCAGTGAAGGCGGTGAAGGTCCTGTGTGAGTGTCTGGAGGCGGTTGGAGAATGGATGGCAGCTAACGGATTGAGGTTGAATCCTGACAAGACAGAAGTACTGTTTTTGGGGGACAGGGGACAGGCTGGTGTGGGGGATTCCCTGGTCCTGAATGGGGTAACTGTGCCCCTGAAGGGCCAGGTGCGCAGCCTCAGAGTCATTTTGGACTCACAGCTGTCCATGGAGGCACAGGTTAATTCTGTGTCCAGGGCGGCTGTCTACCAGCTCCACCTGGTACGCAGGCTAAGACCCTACCTGCCTGCGGACTGTCTCGCCAGAGTGGTGCATGTTCTAGTTATCTTCCGCTTGGACTACTGCAATGCACTCTACATGGGGCTACCTTTGAAGGTGACCCGGAAGCTGCAATTAATCCAGAATGCGGCAGCTAGACTGGTGACTGGGAGTGGCTGCCGAGACCGCATAACACCGGTCTTGAAAGACCTACACTGGTTCCCAGTACGTTTCTGAGCACAATTCAAAGTGTTGGTGCTGACCTTTAAAGCCCTAAACGGCCTCGGTCCTGTATACCTGAAGGAGCGTCTCCACCCCCATCGTTCAGCCCGGACACTGAGATCCAGCGCCGAGGGCCTTCTGGCGGTTCCCTCATTGTGAGAAGTGAGATTACAGGGAACTAGACAGAGGGCCTTCTCGGTAGTGGCGCCCACGCTGTGGAACACCCTCCCTTCAGATGTGAAGGAAATAAGCAGCTATCCTATCTTTAAAAGACATCTGAAGGCAGCCCTGTTCAGGGAAGTTTTTAATATTTAATGCTGTACTGTTTTTAACATTTGATTGGGAGCTGCCCAGAGTGGCTGGGGAAACTCGGCCAGATGGCGGGGTATAAATAATAAATTCTTATTATTCTTATTATTATTATTATTATTATTTAATTTACATTCAAGATTGGATTTACTGCAATGCACTCTGTTAAAGCAGCAATTTAAACATTCACAACAGGGAGTTAAAGTTAAGAGAACGGGCGGAACGCTCATCTAAACATGGGTCCTTTAAGAACCGGCAGAATGCCAATACTGATGGAGGCCTCTCGTATGTCAACAATGTAGCTTGGTTCTGGGTAACAAGGAAACCACCACATGCAGAAGGCAGAGTTTACTGTTAAGAGAGCGATTAATTAGGCTAGACTTCCCACAGCAATATAGAATCTGTGGAGATGTTGCTGGACTAGAGAAACCTTTAGTCTGCTCTCACCATAAAATTAAAGACTCAAGAGGACCTTGCAGGTCATGTGTTCCACCACTGTACACAACTGACACCCACCTTCCTGTAACTCACGGTCACTCCGGAGCAACACAGAACATATATTTTGCCTTCTGCTGTGCAATAAAAAGGTGTACCATCTCAGGATCATTGGGGAATGAGGAGAGGGTAGTGAGACGATTTGCAAGGTACTCTGGTCACATCCTGGCTTTAACGGCCAAAACTCAACACTTTGAACTGAGCTCAGAAAAAGACTGGTAACCAATATGTACACAGCCCTCCACAGAAAACCAATAATTGCAAGGATATAGCTATTCTTATTAACAGACTAAACATACGGAATAACTTTCTGACAGTAAGAGCTGTTTGACAGTGGAAGTTGTGGACTCTCTGTCCTTGGAGGTTTTTAAGCAGAGGTTGGACGGCCATCTGCCATGGATGCTTTAGCTGAGATTCCTACATTGCAGTGGGTTGGTCTACATGACATTTGGGGGCCCCTTCCAGCACTCTGACCATGTTAAGACTTCTTAGTTCTTTGTTATGCAAATGTCTCCAAGCAACTGACAACACACTTAGAAAACATGGCCAGAAATACATTACACCAACAAAAGAATTTGTACGAAGTACCCACAACTCATTATTTTTAAGGACCCACCTTATTTCTGAAATATTAAGTTGTTTTAAACTGTTTTCAATACTCGCAGTACGTTTCCGAGCACAATTCAAAGTGTTGGTGCTGACCTTTAAAGCCCTAAACTGCCTCGGTCCTGTATACCTGAAGGAGCGTCTCCACCCTCACACTCTGCCCGGACACTGAGGTCCAGCGCCGAGGGCCTTCTGGCGGTTCCCTCATTGTGAGAAGCGAAGTTACAGGGAACTAGGCAGAGGGCCTTCCTGGTAATGGCACCCTCCCTGTGGAACACCCTACCATCAGATGTCAAGGAAATAAGCAGCTATCTGACATTTAGAAGACATCTGAAGGCAGCCCTGTTTAGGGAAGTTTTTAATAACTGATGTTTTAATGTATTTTTAACCTTCTGCTGGAAGCCGCCCAGAGTGGCTGGGGAGACCCAGATGGATGGGCGGAGTAGAAATATATTATTATTATTATTATTATTATTATTATTATTATGTCAATAGTTTTGCTGTAACCCACCCTGGGACATCATTCGGGTGAAGGTAGGTAACAAATTATAATCACAACAAAAATGTGTGTGTGCTCAATATATATACGTACACACAACACACACCTATACCCATTCTTGATGTAAATATGACTGTTCAGGAGGAAAGCTGTACTTTGGATTGAAGGTTCAGACGCTATAGAAAGCAAGGGTGGTTAACTTTATTTTTTAATGAGCCCAGGAAGAATCAGAGCTTTATGTGTGGTGACACCAGAAGTCTACTTTGTATTTAAATTTTTTTTTTGCTGCTGCTATCAAACTTGGGGCGGGTGAGTAGTTTTTGGGGACACAGAAAAACGCTTAGGTGGTCCCAATAAGGGCCCCAGGTGGGAGATTAGCCTCCCCTAACACAGAGCAATTTGAGAATGCAACTGATGCAATTTTTATGGGGAAAAGGAATGCTATTATGTGAACAGGAATGCTTACTGTTTATTTACTTTGAGAAAGTGATGGAGGTTAAATGTGGTCGTCCCATCGGGCAGCGTCCCTTCCAGAGGATTCCACCGGTTCCCAGGAAAAATGACGCCAGGCAAATGTTTTGACATCTTCAGTAAGTACCAGTGGTAAGTCATCATCTAGCGCAGGCAAGACGAGATGAAGTTAAAGACGAGGCCTGTGGGCTTCTCCGACCCGAAGCACCATCGATGTAAATAAACATACCTAAAAACTGACACTAAGGCTGCTGTGATGGCCTGGGATTCGGACTCAGATGCTGAACCTGAGGGATCCCAGCCTGCACAGGAGTCCCCGCCTCCAGAACCAGCTGAGCCGGGGCTGGGGCTTGAGCCTGAAGGGTCCTCACCTGTGCTGGATCCTCTGGTGCAGGCACCAGCTGAGTCTGCTCTGGCTCCGGAGGTGATGGAGGACCCATTGCCTGCAGGTGCTCCACTCTCAGCCCCGTCAGGGGAAGGTGAGGTTGCCTCTGGGTCCGGTGACCCTCCAGCCTCTCCTGAGCTGCAGAGGCTCAGGGCAGAGAGGCGGAGGGAACTAAGTTCCTGCAGGAGGAGTGCTCGCCTCCAGACCAGGAGAGGCGAGTCACCAGAGGATCGGGGCCGCAGATAAAAGCCGGCCAGTCCCAGTCCCAAGTTGCGGGAGCAACATTGTTGGTTGTAGTTCCTGCCTGGACCCTGTCCTTCCAGAAGCCTCTTGAATTAAGTAGATTAGGAAAGATCTCTACACATCAGATCAATACTTTCTGCACTAAGAAATGCAAACTGGCAGGGCTGGGGGCAGTGCCAGATTTACGTATAAGCTAAACAAGCTATAGCTTAGGGCCCCACTCTCTTGGGGGGGGGGCAAAAAAAATTAAAGGAGAAAAAACTGGATGTGCATTTTCAAAATATAAGATAAAAAACCCAATAAAATAAAACCTACATACAGGAACAGTGTTTTGTGTTGTATAGGCTCCTATGATGTAAGTCATGGGCCCCGCCTGCTGGCCTGCTCCCTAAAATATCACTGGTTTGCTCATTTCTATATACAGAGGTACCTTGGTTCTCAAACTTAATCCGTTCCAGAAGTCCGTTCCAAAACCAAAGCGTTCCAAAACCAAGGAGTGCTTTCCCATAGAAAGTAATGCAAAATGGATTAATCCGTTGCAGACTTCTAAAAACAACCCCTAGAACATTGTATTTCACTATTAATATACTTCTTCTTAATTGTATTTCAGTTCAACAATATACACTTTTTTGTTATGTCCAAATGGCTTTAGATACCTATTAGGTCCACGAATTACCATATAGCATATATTCAACACAAAATATATAGCATATATTACCATATAGCATATATTCAACACAAAAACCAGTGGCAATTTGTTGTTGACAAAGGACAGCTGGACATATAAAGGGCCCTATTACCTACAGTAGCTGAGGACCTCATCAAACCTAAATCCGGCCCTGGCCAGGAGTGTCACCTGCCTGACCTGAAACTCTGGTTTAAACTGCTCTCGGCACCAGCAAGACTGAGCTACATGTACCAACGTCTGGCCAGCACAGCAGCTTCTCGTGTTCCCATGCCTTGCAAGGAACTGTCATCTCACACTCTGTAAAGTATGCAAACCTCGCTTTCCACCTACTTCTTGGTCCACCAAGGTAACGTCAGGTCTCACTCCCTCACAATAATGGAGGTAACGGAGAGAATTGCCGGGCAAGTCCCCTCTCAGCAGGACGATGGCATCTGGAGGCATGGAGGACAAAAGGTTCCTCGCAAAGCGGTCGACGACGTAGTTGCGGCTTTGGTCGCAGACGCTGGGCGGAAAGAGATAATGGGAAAGAAAAGGGAAAGCTGTTTTGTGTTGCTTTTAGTCCATCCCCAAGTAGCTCAGCTAGATAAACAGGAGTGGCAGACACAGCGTGGCTTTGAATCCCAGGATTTGTAGCATTTGCAAACCCTTTCAAGAGCAATGACAGGCCACCGGGCAGCTTAGTGTTTATTTATTAAGGACCTGACATTCTCTACATGCAATGCGATAATAATAATAATAATAATAATAATAATAATAAATTATTTATACTCCGCCCCTTCCCGGTTCAAAAACCGGGCTCAGGGCGGCTAACAACAAATTTAAAACACTTAATTATAAAAGCAGCGTAAAATACAGTATAAAAACATGAATAACAATAAAAATCAAAAATCAGTTAGATAATCCCCAGGGCTAGCTGGCTGAATTGGTCCTACTTGGGCCAGCGAGGAGGCCAGGGGAGAATTAGCTGTGGGGTCTCAGAGCGGGTGATCTTCATAAAAGGGGAGGGGGAGGGAAGAGAAGGGAAATAAAAGATCAGGCTGAATTCAAATTAAAGGCCAGGCGGAATAGCTCTGTCTTACAGGCCCGGCGGAAGGAGGTTAAATCCTGCAGGGCCCCTAGTCTCATGGGACAGAGCATTCCACCAGGTCGGAGCCATCACTGACAAGGCCCTGGCCCTGGTGGAGGATAGTCTGACTTCCTTAGGGCCCGGGACCTCTAAACTATGGTTATTCATGGACCTTAAGGTCCTCTTCAGGGCATACCAGGAGAGGCGGTCCCGTAGAAAAATGACACAGGCCCGCCCTCAGGCATATTATCCGTAAGAGGCAAGGAAAAAGGAATGTGGAGGGCAGAGGAAGAGAAATTTACAAAACTTCCCTGACATTAATTTCCATAAGAATATATATAGCGTCTGCTTGATCAGGTCAATGGCCCATCTAGTCCAGCACAATGGCGGGTACAATCTAGTTCCCACAATGGCTGAACGGTTGCCTGTGGGAAACCAGGAGGCAGAATTCGAACTCAAGAGCAGGACTCTCCCCTCCCATGGTTTCCAGACACTGGTATTCAGAATAATTGCTGCCTCCAGCAGTGGAGGGCAAAGCATAGCCATCATGGCTGGTATCCATCAATAGCCTGTCCTCCATGAATTTGTCTAGCCCTGGTGATCATCTAATGTTTATTGGATGGATTTCCCCCCTAAATTGATTTTTGAATCCTGAATTTATTGTTATTGACGTTTTATACGGTATTTTGTTGCATCAATTAAGTGTTTTAAATTTGTTGTTAGCTGCCCTGAGCCTGGTTTTCTGAACAGGGAAGGGCGGGTATAAATAAAATTATTATTATTATTATTATAAAAGCCAAGCAAATTGGTGGGCATCACTACTGAATTAATTGTGGGATGTATCTTAATTTATTGATTGCTTGTCTTACTTGTATGATGTTAGCCGCTCTGCCTTTGGCCGGGAAGGGCGGGATATAAATAAAATTATTTTTTATTATTATTATTATTATTATTATTATTATTATTATTATTATTATTTCCTCTGGCAAAGGAGTTTGCAAAGGAACAAGGCTCCACATCCCTTCAGCAGACAGAGATGAACTCGACCAGAGATGGAGGACTTGTTGGAGTCAATCTCGCAGCAGGTCCAGCCAGCATCTGATGTTGGGAGTTGCATTTAAAACATAGGGAGGGGCAAAGATTCCCTGGCCTAAATAGAGCCAATCATCTCATTCAGCAGACGGCAGCTTTGGATGGTCAATGGCGGAACTAGTTTTGATGCCCTGATGCAAGGCTGGATTTAGGTTTGATGAGGCCCTAAGCTACTGAAGGTAATGGGGCCGGCTATATGTCCAGCTGTCCTTTGTCAACAACAAATTGTTGCTGTTTTTTTGTGTTGAATATTTGATACATGGTAATTTATGGACCTAATGGGTATCTCAAACCATTTGCACATAACAAAATATGTATTTTATCAAAGTAATTGTTGAACTGAAATACAATTAAGAAGAAGTATATTAATAGTGGACGGATGTGGGTGGCGCTGTGGGTTAAACCACAGAGCCTAGGACTTGCTGATCAGAAGGTTGGCGGTTTGAATACCTGCGACGGGGTGAGCTCCCGTTGCTCGGTCCTTGCTCCTGCCAACCTAGCAGTTCGAAAGCACGTCAAAGTGCAAGTAGATAAATAGGGACCGCTCTGGCGGGAAGGTAAACGGCGTTTCCGTGCACTGCTCTGGTTTGCCGGAAGCAGCTTAGTCATGCTGGTCACATGACCTGGAAGCTGTACGCCAGCTCCCTCGGCCAATAAAGCAAAATGAGCGCCGCAACCCCAGAGTCATCCGTGACTGGACCTAATGGTCAGGGGTCCCTTTACCTTTCTATATTAATAGTGAAATACAATTAAGAAGAAGTACAAGGTGAGTCTTTTAAAAGAGGCCCAGTGGAACATGTGTACTCTGTATCCACGGGGCCTCACCCTGTATATTAATAGTAAAATAATTATTAAGCTCTAACTTTAAGTGATCTTTTATTCATAGCAAACTTCATAATGCAAACACATTGGCATTTGGCAATAACAAAAGTTCCTTTAGAAACAAAATTTACAAAGACTCATAATTTTGGGTGGGCCCCCAAGAGAGTGGGGCCCTAAGCTATAGCTTGTTTAGCGTATAAGTAAATCCAGCACTGCCCTGATGCAGCGTTTTTGCTAAGATCCCAGGTGGCACGTTTTTAGAAGACGCTCCCATCCTGCCCAAGCAGTGCGAAGTCTTAAAGGGTTCTAAGCAAGAGCTAGCGTAGCAAGATGATTGGACTACAAGAAGGGAGACCTGGGTTCAGATCCACGCTAGGCCCTGTATACCTGAAGGAGCGTCTCCACATTCATTGTTCAGCCTGGACACTGAGGTCCAGCTCCAAGGGCCTTCTGGTGGTTCCCTCACTGCGAGACGTGAAGCTACTGGGAACCAGGCAGAGGGCCTTCTCAGTAGTGGCACCCACCCTGTGGAACACCCTCCCGTCAGATGTCAAACAGATAAACAACAATATGACTTTTAGAAGACATCTGAAGGCAGCTCTCTGTACAGTATAGGGAAGTTTTTAATGGTTGATGTTTCATTGTGAATACGGTGGTACCTCGGGTTACATTCGCTTCAGGTTACATACGCTTCAGGTTACAGACTCCGCTAACCCAGAAATAGTACGTCGGGTTAAGAACCTTGCTTCAGGATGAGAACAGAAATCATGCTCCGGTGGCGCGGTGGCAGTGGGAGGCCCCATTAGCTAAAGTGGTGCTTCTGGTTAAGAACTGTTTCAGGTTAAGAACGGACCTCCGGAACGAATTAAGTACTTAGCCCAAGGTACCACTGTATTTTGTTGGGAGCTGCCTAGAGTGGCCGGGTACGAATAAAAGAATAAAAAAAAAACTGTAGTAGTAATAGTAATAGTAATAGTAATAAATAGGCCAATTGCTATTTTTCAGCCTAACCTATCTGGCAAGGGTGTTGTGAGTAGGGACATCAGACAATTTCAATGGAAATGGAAACGGAAGGGGAAATGGCTGATGTTGCTTACATGTCCCATGTCCAGAATGGAAATCAAACCAGTTCGGGATTTGTTGTTGTTCCTGCTCCTTCTGATATGTAACTGATTATGTCCCCCTCCCTGTTTGCATTCCCTTTCCTTTGCCCAGGGTGGAATGGGATGTAGCAGCGAGGCAGCGAGATGAATAACGTAGCATTTGGCGAAAGGCGAACTGCAGTGGAACGGAAGCGGCGCTGCATGCGATGGATACAAGGCAGAACAGAAGACGGTGCCTCCTTACAACACGAGTTGCGTGGCTAAATAAGGAAGCGAGAAGCAGGTGTGGCTGCCCTGAACCACTTGAGGGAACAGTGGGAAATGAACACGATGCTAATTGGACTTTTAAGCCCACTCTGCAAAGCTGAACCCACTGTGCTCTTTCTTGCAGTTACCTGTAATTAGAGCAGATCTGCCCGGTAACCAGAACGGCAGCAAGAAGCCATTCCAGGCAGCGAAGCACTCGCCTGTTTCCAGCTACCCCCTCTGCAAAAGCGAAAAACGAAGAGAAACCGAGGCCGGCTAGAACAGCAACCACCGCATTGCTCTGCATCCAGAATCGCTCGACCTGCGGAAGGACAGACAGACAGTGTTTCCCCAACTGCGTAGAAATGTGATGGGTATTAGACTCATAGAAACGCAGAGTTGGAAGGGGACTACAGGGGTCATCTAGTCCAACCCCCTGAAATGCAGGAATCTTTTGCCCAACGTGGGGCTCATGCTCCACCAACTGAGCTATCCTAGGTATCATAGTAAGGATATATTAATTATAACTGATTCTCTAGAGACCTGTGTGTTTGGATTAACACAAAATGGCTTGTGCCTGTTTTTAAAATGCAGGGCTTGCACCTAAAGAGACCCAGTACTGGAGTTTAAATCTCACTGTTAGGCAGATTTACTGACGCCTAAGAATAGGTTTTTAAACCTTTTTAATACATCCCAGCTCTTAAGGCACCTGGCCTTAAGACCACAGACTGCAAGGTAAGTTTAAAATGTTTTACTTACAGTCACTAGGTCTCAGAGTTGAATTTTCCTTAGTAGCAACAATAAAATGCAGGTAAATGTGCTTAGATGAAATATATACAGCAAAGCAGCCTCAGATACATATGAGAGGCAGAGAACAAAGTTGATGTATTTCTGCTTCCTTGCTTGCAGCGTGATAGAGAGACAGAGAAAGGATGTGACATCACAGAGGCTACTCTAGTAATTGAGAACTCTGTGGTCCTTAACCCCTTCACATACTAACTAGCACTGTTAGGTTTGACTGCAAATCTCCCACACAATGCATGTTTGCAAAACGCTGCATGGAGTTCAGCTTTAGTGAATATAGACCTGGGAGATTGTCTTTCGATTTTCCAAAATCTAGAGGAAGGGCCACAGCTCACTGGCAGAGCATGTGCAGAAAGCCCTAGGTTAAATCCCTAGCATCACCAGCAAAGAAGGTAATCTCTGCCTGGGACAGGTGAAATTTTCAGGTTTAAATTTTAGTTGCATGTAATTTTAGTTACAACCTGGCATCTTCTTTCATTTTGCCAGTTTATAAGGAGCAGAAACAAGGGAACACATCAACATTATAGAAAAAAGAGAAAAGTATAAGGTATGCTGAAAATTATTAGGTTTTCTCCAGTCCTCAACAAAGTCAAGCAGAGATACAACACTCATGTCCATAACATGTTTTCTGCGAAAAAGGGAAGGAACCAAGAGTTGATGAATACTATAAATTTAATCAGTCTCATTATCTGAGATATCACTATCAGTTTCTCTTTTTGCTTCTTCTTATTTGTCACCCTATCTATCACAGACTTTCTAAAAGCTGAAAGTTTGCCCAGATTGAAACAAACTTCTACAGCCTTTCACATGTCACAGTGCTTTTTCTTTTTCATTTTTTTCCAGAACCGCCCCCCCCGCCAAGAAATGGGCTTTGTGAGGGAAATGGAAAAATACTTTTTTCGCCCTTAACTTTTCTCTCCCTCCCCCAGACATTCATCTCTCTGCTCAGACATCGCAGAGCAATTTCTATATCCTGAAATAAGCTTTAAATTAAATTAAAACCATGCATTTTGTTTTTTAAAAAACAACAACATAAATAGCAACCTTGAAAGCAAACATACCACTCCTTTAAACAGCGGCTTTGAAATATCCAGATTTGCTCTCCAAGCAAAGAATAATGAATAGGCAAGGAGCATTGAAGTGAACAGCCAGACTAAATTTGGCTTCTCCATCTTGGGCCTAGAAGAGGAGAGGGGAGAGAGACTGTGATTAAGAGAGTGATTAAGGTGGAAAAATGCAAATGACAAAGCTGTGTTTTAATTGAAGAACGGCAGAAGATGCAGCACACACAACTAACATCACGAAAGGTACATCAGAGATGTGATTCCAAAGAAAGCCAGGCGAAAGGTGGTTGCTGTTGGCTTAAATCATTATTTTTAATGTGATCGTTAAAACTACGCTTCAAACAAGGTTCCCAGGGTGGAATACGAAGACTGCAGTGAAATGAAATAAATCAGCTACACAGCCATAAAATCACTAATCGGTACAATAAGGGAGTGGTCCAAACGCCCCACAAAGGCCTGGGTTTTAGCAATGCACAACGGAGGAGGATACGGGAACAACTTTTTGAAGAGTAAACCCACGAACAAAAACCGGCCGCTACCTCACTGCTGCACACAAACACGCGATGATAGCAAGGGCTTGGGCGATGGCGGAGAGCTCCGTCCTCATGTCAGTCACTTGGAAGCTGCAAAGGCATCAAAAGTCAAAATATTGGTAGTGCAATAGCTAAAAGCAGGTGTTGCAACAGCCGTCAGATCAATGCATCCACAAATCACAGCAGTACAACCGCTGGCAGAAAAATCACGGGGTCTCAGAAGCCATGGAGTGGAAGTCATGATGTCCTATTCTGACAACTGGGACGACTAAGTTGGGGCCCTGCATAGCCCACAGTTGACACCTGCCCTGGGCCACCCTTTAAAGACCTATTTTGCCCGAGGTTCCAATGAATATTTGGCCGCTGGCTCCCATGGTGTTTCAGGGTGAAATGACGCAGCCTGCGTCAAATTCAACTGTGGTTTCCCAGACGTCTACACCGTCCAATTGCCATATTCATCTGCACATTAAAGGTAAAGGTAAAGGGACCCCTGACTATTAGGTCCAGTCGCGGACGACTCTGAGGTTGCGGCGCTCATCTCGCTTTATTGGCTGAGGGAGCAGGCGTACAGCTTCCAGGTCATGTGGCCAGCATGACTAAGCTGCTTCTGGCAAACCAGAGCAGCGCACGGAAACGCCGTTTACCTTCCCGCCGGAATGGTACCTATTTATCTACTTGCACTTTCATGTGCTTTCGAAATGCTAGGTTGGCAGGAGCAAGGACTGAGCAACGGGAGCTCACCCCGTTGCGGGGATCTGAACCGCCGACCTTCTGATCATCAAGTCCTAGGCTCTGTGGTTTAACCCACAGCGCCACCCGCATCCCCATCTGTACATTAATCCTCTCAAAAATGTGTTTAAAGATTGTTAAACTCATTTTTTTGAAAAGCATCTTCTTTCAAAACATGGATGTCCAATGTTACATCAGTATTTTCATTTTTAAATACAGTGGACATTCGGGTTGCCAACACGATCCGTGCGGGATGCATGTTCGCAACCCACAGAGGCGCATCTGCGCACGTGAGGGTTGCGATTCGGCGCTTCTGCGCATGCACAAAGCGCGATTTAGCACTTCTGCGCATGCATGACTGCCGGAACCCGGAAGTAACCCATTCCAGTACTTGTGGGTTTTGGTGGGTCCGTAACCTGAAAAAACACAACCTGAAGTGTCTGTAACCCTAGGTATGACTGTACATTCTGACATGTCAAAATGTTTGGGAAGTGCAAGAGACCCGTGGACAATGAAGTTCCAATCTGCACATTGGTTCCAGGAGGTATGAAGGTGGTCAGCTGTGTGAGAATTCACGGAGATCAACCCCCCGAGAATCCCTGCCCTGGAACAATGTTATTACATCAGTGGTATTGTGGGAAGTCAAAATGCTGCTGCCTGATGCAGCCGAATAATCCCCAGGGCCTTCTGTGTGGCTGCTCCAAAAATGTGGAACTCTATCCCTAGAGAAGCCAGCCTGGCTCCCTCCTTGTTATCCTTCTGCCGGCAGATGGAGACCTTTCTATTCCAATGTGCTTTGGGGAACGGACCATTTTTCATAAAAGGGTTGGTGCGCCGTGCTGCTTTTATTAAAATTATTTGTATGATGTGTGTATATATATAATTTTATCAATGTTTAATTGGATTTTAAATGATTTTCCCTATGTTTTTAGCAGCTCCTATTTTTATCAATTGCCTTGAGTCCCTAGCAGTGAAAAAAGAAGGATATACATATAATAAACAGAATAATAATAATAATAATAATTTATTTATACCCCGCCCATCTGGCTGGGTTTCCCCAGACACTCTGGGCGGCTTCCAACAGAATATTAAAATACAATATTAAACATTAAAAGCTTCCCTAAACAGGGCTGCCTTCAGATGTCTTCTAAAAGTCTGGTAGTCGTTTTTCTCTTTGACAAAGAAGAAGAAGAAGAAGAAGAGGTCACCAGTGTAGGATTTTGTTATGAGCCCTCCCAGACCAAGAAAGAAATTAAATGATTCACTTACAGCAATATATCAGCCATACTCGATCCATTCTCTAATTTTGCCTACACAGGAAAGAAAAACACTCAACAAATGCTGCAATAGGTTCCTGCCCTCTTTTTCCAGAGGTCAACCCCAGGATTTTTACATATTGTCAGAGCCAACTCCATGGGCGGAAGTACACTTTATTTTCCCTGTCCTGAATTTGCCAACATTCAGCTTTGTCGGAGGGTCCCAAGTTCTAGAAAAGGAGAGAGGGAAAAAAATCCCCATACACTTTCTCCACGCATAATTTTTTGCGCCACTGGCATGTCCTCCCTTATCGCAGACTTTCCTCAGAGTCACTTGGTGCTGGCCCCAGTAACGTAAGGAGAGCATACAGGATCAGGCCAACAGCCCATCTAGTCCAGCATCCTGTTCTCACAGTGGCCAACCAGATGCCTGTGGGAAACCAGGGAGCAGGATTCGAACACAGGACCCCTCTCCCCTCCTGCTGTTTCCAGACAATGCTCAGAAGCACTGCTGCCTTCAACCGTGGAGGCAGAGCCGAGCCATCTTGGCTCATAGCCCTTGATAGATTTATCCTCATTTTCTGAACCGAATCCACTACCTTTTCGGAAACTGCTAGCAGCTGGATATCAGTTGGACACCCCTTGCCCAGGGCACCTCCAATCATAGCTGTCAACTTACAGATTTGAAAATAAGGGACCAGCAGCCTCGAAAATAAGGGATCAGCAGCCAAAATAAGCGATTTTGCGAGCACTGGTATGTTCAACTTCTGAGCCCCTCCGAGCCAAAGGCAGAAAGCCCAACCAGCAGCCAAACGAAGCTTCAAGCGGTGGTTCCCACAGCGCAGCAACCCGGCAAAGGGGATGTAGCAAGGGAAACCACCGTCACCTCTCCGCTGGGAAGCGCTGAGCAAAGGCGAGTCCCCAGGCAACGCGGCCGATTTGATTGGCACAAGGCATGCAAGCTCCACCCCCCAGTCATTCTTAGACTCCTTATTGGGTGAGCAACGCAGCCAAGCAATACAGTTGGAGCCTCCCTCCTCCCTGGCCGGCAGGGAGGGAGGGAGAGGAGCTGCTTCCTTTGAAACCCGAGAAATTTAAGGGACATCATCAATAAGGGACAGCAGCGGGACAGCGCTAGGATAAGGGACTGTCCCACCAAATAAGGGATGGTTGACAGCTATGCCTCCAATTCATTGCATATGTTCAGCCTTCCCCTTCCATTGACACGAGCAGAGCAGAGTGTCACACCGCAGCTGTGACGGCCTCACCGGCCTGCTCATTTTCCCTTCAGAACAAAATAACTACGATTAAGCGGCACGAGGGAGATTGCATTTATTTCTCTAGCTACCAAGCGGTTTAGCCACCCCAAAGAAGAAGCACAGGGGCTACGAAACCGCTATTTGAGAAATAACAATTTTTAAAGCTCTTCTGCCACTAGGATCCCAGGCTGTGCGTCTAAAATATTCGGAGCCACGCGGACTCCAGATACATAAGAGAAATCTTGTTCTTCGGAAGGGAGCCCCTCTCCACCCCCGCAACCCCCGGTTTACCAAATTGAAGGTTCCGTATTCTTCCCTGAGAAGATGGGTCGTAAATCCCTTAAGGGTCGTCTGGTCTCCCCAGGTCCAGCGCGCTTTGTTGAGGTAGGAAGAGGCAGGCAGGTAGAGATACGGCAGGCAGCCAGCCAGGAAGCAGAAAGTCAACTTTAGCATGTGGCCTAGGGTCAATTCCTGCACCAATAAAATAAAATAAAATAAAATGCCAAATTGCACCACGGTGATTATTTCGGTGGGGTCGTGCCGGAACTTTGCCATCGAACATCAAGGGTTGGGGAGGAAAGGCAAGGCAAAGGAAATATGTGGAGATATATATATTGACACACACAGAACTGATCTCTCAATTTGCACGTTAAGTCCCTGTGAAAAGGCGATGTTGAAAACGGCACCATCTCCATGGATTACTCGGGGGAAATGACATCGCTCTGATCTCTTCTGCTTGGCAGGATGAATTTTTAAAGTGAAGCGAATAATATTAGAGGCTCCCCGAAAGATCATGTTTGTGGCGCGTTTCACCACTGAAACTGTGCCATGGGTGGTGGGAAACGCTGCAATGCGGAGATAAACCACTTTGCGATGATCAGAGTTGGCTGGTTTTCCACCTGCAACCCCCTTCGCCCATAATTAAATTAAATAACTAAGGCTTGTCCCCACCCCACCCCACACAACATGCTCTACGTCAATAGCTTGATCCCATTTATTTTTCTAGCTCTGGAGTGCCAGGACACAGCCGCACAGAAGGATTCAGAAGAGAATGGGTGTATGTCTAACTGTAAAAGACAACGGTTCTGTTTGCATGTCACAGTAAACCATGGTTAACGGTTTACAGATTGTCCTCTCCACTGGGTGAGAGGAACCACAAACCATGGCCTGCGGCTTAGCGTTTAGTCTGAAGCACTGACTATCATTTCTTTTGCTCACACCATAATTAGTAAGCAAAGAACAAATCTTGGCTTCACATTACGGCTTTTTTGGGAGCAGAGGAACCCACAATCCCTGGATCAGACATCCCACTAAGCCTAACATTGGCAAACCACAGCTTACTGTGACAGGAAAACTCAGCTAACAGGGCAACTGAAAGGATTATTGCATTCTTTCTGAGGCTAAAGTTAGACAAGCTCTTGAAGGAAGATGTTTATCAATAACTATTAGCAAAGCAGAACCTCCATGTTCAGGGGCAACGGACCTATGAAAACTGGTTGCATGGTTGTTGTTGTTTTGTTTGTTTTTTTAAAAAACTGCACTTTAATACATAACAAACAACCCATTCTAGATTGTAAGGTCCTTGGGAACAGAGAGCTATTTTTTGCTGTCTGAAATGACAATGGGGATGATGATGATGATGATGATTTTATTATTTGTCCCCTGTCCATCTGACTGGGTTGTCCCAGCCACTCTGGACAGCTTCCAACAGATATAAAAACATAAGGGCTGTATTTTTATACATGGTTTTAATATGTTAAAAAAACCTTTCCAAGCAGTGTATAGAAAACTAAAACAACAAATAATGTTACAAAAACACAGAATAAAATAATAATAATAACAATAAATTTTATTTATACCCCGCCCTCCCCAGCCAGAGCCAGGCTCAGGGCGGCTAACACCAGTAAAATCACAGTAAAAACATAATAAGAAAAAAGAAAAAGGAAAAAAAAAACAATTTAAAATACAGGTTAAAATGCAATTTAAAATGCAGCCTCATTTTAAAAGTCAAAACCATAAGGGGAGGCAAACATAAGGGTCAGACTGAGTCCAAACCAAAGGTCAGGCGGAACAGCTCTGTCTTGAAGGCCCTGCGGAAAGATGTCAAGTCCTGCACGGCCCTAGTCTCTTGTGACAGAGCGTTCCACCAAGTCGGGGCCAGTACTGAAAAGGCCCTGGCCGTAGTTGAGACCAATCTAACCACCTTGCGACTTGGGACATCCAAAATGTTGTCATTTGTGGACCTTAAGGTCCTCCACGGGGCATACCAGGAGAGGCGGTCCCGTAGATATGTGGGTCCTAGGCTGCATAGGGCTTTAAAGGTCAAAGCCAGCACCTTAAACCTGACCCTATACTCCACCAGGAGCCAGTGCAGTTGGTAAAGCACTGGATGAATGTGATCCCGCGGCAGGGACCCCGTAAGGAGCCTCTCCGCGGCATTCTGCACCCGCTGGAGTTTCTGGGTCAGCTTCAAGGGCAGCCCCGCGTAGAGCGAGTTGCAATAATAAAACTATTAATACTAACAAATACGGACTATTCCCAGTTCTTTCTCCTTCTGAGACACCTGCCAGCTTCCTGGCTCTCACCCAACACTCCACGCATCTACTTTGGCTCTCTCCCAGAACAGAAAAAAAAAATCACAAAACCACCCCCTCCTCACAATAATGGGGGTTCCTGGAACCAAGTGGCAAACCCCGTAACCCTTCACTGTAGGCTTGCTTTTATGGGCAGGTCCCAAGGGGAATAGCACTTCCTCAAACCACCCAGAGATGTCTTCCATTTTGCACTCGGTCAGTTGCACTGCACGGGACCAGTTCCAAGTTACCTCCTCCAAGCTATTAGAATCTCCCTCCTGCAACTTTGGGTGGCAACCTCTGCCCCTTGCTGCATGCCCAGGTAAAAGGCAGAGGACCCCGGGACAGTTAAGTCCAGTCAAAGGCGACTCTGGGGTTGCGGCGCTCATTTCGCTTCCAGGCCAAGGGAGCCCACGTTTGTCCACAGACAGCTTTCCAGGCCATGTGGCCAGTAGGACTAAACCACTTCTGGCACAATGAAACACTGTGACGGAAACCAGAGCGCACAGAAATGCTGTTTACCTTTCCACTGGAGCGGTACCTATTTATCTACTGTCATGCTTTCAAATTGCTAGGTTGGCAGGAGCTGGGACAAAGCAGCAGGAGCTGACTCCATCGCGGGGATTCGAACCACCAACCTTCCGATCGGGAAGCCCAAGAGGCTCAGTGGTTTAGACCACAGCGCCACAGAGATATGGCTGCGAAGAGTGTCTGGCCACGCTCATCCCTGGACTCTCTCGGCCACCCAAGTCTTCTTTCCAAAGTGTATTGTGGGTACTCACCCTCTCCCTGAGCAAGCAGTAGAAAACCCACAGCGCGACACAAATCACATAGATGACGATGGTGTGCTGGTTGCACAAGCTGAGGCCGCAGCAGAAGGCGCCCGCTTTGCAGATCTGCAAAAAGGAAACGAAAGGAGCATCTAATCGTGGCTTTTTAAATTGGTTTTTCAGAATGTAAGAAGAACATGCTGGATCTGGCTAGTCCAATTTCCTGCTCCCACAGTAACCAACCAGATGCTTGTGGGACTATTTTATTTAGAAATACAATAGTCAGATGGATGGGCTATAAATAAATTGCTGTATTCTTATTAGTACAGTGGTACCTCTAGATACAAACGGGATCCGTTCCGGAGCCCTGTTCGCATCTAGAGGTAAACGTAACTAGCGATGGCACGTCTGCGCATGCGTGCGTCGCTTTTCACTGCTTCTGCGCATGCGCGTGACGTCATTTTGAGCGTCTGCGCATGCACAAGCGGCAAAACCCGGAAGTAACGCCCTCCGTTACTTCCGGGTTGCCGAGGAGCGCAACTTGAACTCGCTCAACTCGAAGCGTATTTAACCCGAGGTATGACTGTAGCAGCTCTGGGTTTAGAAAGAGGCTCTGGTAGCAGGTGTTGCGCAAGTCTCTGGGAATAAGAGCAGGGATGATGGGATAGATGGACTTTTGGCCTGATCCAGCAGCCGAGCTCTTCTCATGTTCATAGGAGTTGCTGCCTGTCCGAGCAGACTATACTGGGCTAGATGGGAAAGCAGTCTTATGCGGTAGGAAGAAGTTTTCCGCGTTCCTACAGGAACAAATCCAGGTTTAGTGGAAGAGCATCGGTTTTAAATGCAGAAGGGGCCAGATTCAAAACTTGGCAGCACCTCCAGGTAGGCCGATCTGAACCTCAGGAGTGCTGCTGCCAGTCAGGGTGGGCAATACTGAACTAGATGTCCAGTGGTCTGACTCAGTAGCAGACAGTTTCGTCTGTTCCAGGTGTCTTAAACCATCATGTGCAGTTCGGCCCGAGATAAACCTTCCCAGACTCAGCTTCTTCCAGATGTTTCGGACTACAACTCCCATCATCCCCAGCCATCACGGCCATGCGCTGATGGGGTCTGTAGTCCAAAACATCTGGGAAGGCTGAAATCCAGAACGCGGCAGCCAGACTGGTGGCTGGGAGCGGCCGCCGAGACCATATAACACCGGTCTTGAAAGACCTACATTGGCTCCCAGTACGTTTCCGAGCACAATTCAAAGTATTGGTGCTGACCTTAAAAGCCCTAAACGGCCTCAGTCCAGTATATCTGAAGGAGCGTCTCCACCCCCATCGTTCAGCCCGGACACTGAGATCCAGCTCTGAGGGCCTTCTGGCGGTTCCCTCACTGCGAGAAGTGAGGTTACAGGGAACCAGGCAGAGGGCCTTCTCGGTAGTGGCACCCGCCCTATGGAACGCCCTCCCAACAGATGTCAAAGAGAACAACAACTACCAGACTTTTAGAAGACATCTGAAGGCAGCCCTGTTTAGGGAAGCTTTTAATGTTTGATGTATTACAGTATTTTAATATTTTTTTGGAAGCCGCCCAGAGTGGCTGGGGAAGCCCAGCCAGATGGGCAGGGTATAAATAATAAATTATTATTATTATTATTATTATTAATTGTAGGCTCGGGTTGCTTCCATTAGTGGTGTAGGTGGGGAGGGAAATAATCTATTGTGATGTCTTTTGATCGTGAGCAGTCTACCTTTGATCTCTCCTTGGCGGTCGCAGCCTCCCGGAAGCGCACGCAGAGGGCCATCAGCAGCCCCACAAACAGATTGTTTAAGCTGAAAACCTCTGCCGTGATGGACCACTGCCATGTGAGGCGAGAAAACGAAAACATCCCCACAGCAAAGATTCCTGCAGCATGCTTGCCAGAAAGCCTGCAAACACAGATAACAAGAAAATGTACCGTCTCATCCAACAACTCTTAGTACACACCCCACCCCTCACACGGAAAAACAAAATTGAAGACGCCTTCGTTGTCCTTCTGGGCTGACGCCCCCACCCATCTTGAAACCCACAACAGCAGCAGCAGCAAAATACACCTTTCTGGGGGGTCGCACCCACTGAAAGGCTTTTCTTGTTTTGGGTTTGGGGTCTTTTTAAAAGCATGCCTTAATCTGGGCTTCTGGATCAGTTCTTGATTACAAGCGTTCAGCTCTGAAAGGCTTGGGGGAAGCAGGACGCATTGGTTGAGAGTTTAGAGACAGCAAGTGAGGGCTGGAGACTCTGTATGTGCACAGGAGTGCTCTCTCTCACGCACGCGCGCACACACACACAAAAACACCCGTTGCAACAGCTTTCACATCAGTTTCCAAGCATCCTGCAGCAGACCCGGGTTCAGCAAAAGTGTGGTTGAGGGGACTGAGGATGAAACTGGACTGCGGTTCTAGATTCAGGTAGGTAGCCATGTTGGTCTGATGCAGTCAAAATAAATTAAAAAATTTAAAAAATGTCCAGTAGCACTGTAGAGACCAACTAAGTTTGTTCTGCATGCACCCTTCTTCAGATACGAACTGTGGTGGTGGTGATGCGGGGGGGGGGATCTCCCATTGGCACGGCTGAATACCATAAACACAGGGGCCTCAATTTCCACCAGGACTGCTGAGTGGACAAAGGTTCAAAGTGTTCTCAGAGTATATGATTTTTGAAGCCATTATGTACCTTAACCTTCTCGTACGCTAGGTAGGCGTGCCATCCATACCTATTGTCAAAACTTTCTAGATTTAAAATACTAGCGTTTTCCAATGTAATCCAGTCTTTTAGCCATGCCAGAAATTCTGCTTCATAGTATAATTTTAGACTTGGTAATGCCAGTCCTCCGCTCTCCCTGTTATCTGTTAATAGTTTATACTTTATGCGTGGAAGGGAAGTAGAGGGTGGTGGGTTTTATAATTAAGTGTATAATTATGCAGCTGTTGTAATTTAGATATTATATTTTATGTGAGGGAATCACTGGGAATTTTGGTTATTATGTATATATGTTAAGTTTCAATAAAGATCTTGGGGGGGGGGGGATTAAAAAAGGTTTAAAGTGCTCTCACCACGATCTTGGTCCATCTCAGGCCCTCCCAATGCAAGGTCTTATTTTTATTTTTCAAAACAAAAAATCAAAAAACCCTTACGCCTTAAGGTTGCATTCAGACATGACTTGACAGGCCTGCACAAAATGTTAATGATAGTTTATTGGTATTTTTATATGAGAGAACAGGGTATTGGGGTTGTTTTTCTGCCATGGGCTGGCTGGCTCTGCGCCAAAAACCAGTGCCACAGCCCTGTGGTTCTGTTTGCAGGCTGTCAGGTGTAGTGTTTCGGTGTTTTCCAAGGATGAAATTCGCTGACCCCTCCCGGCTACGCTAACGCAGCTTCCTCCCGAGGGATATTTTGAGAGAAACAAAATGGCGGACCGCCACACCAACAGGGACCCAGTTGATAGCGTGTCCACATGTGGCTTCCTTCTGGAGCATTCCAGAATGACAGCCACTCGCTGAAAAGTTGGTGATTGTTGCTCTCTGCCCCCTCCCTGCACAAAAAAAGGCGTAAAGTAAGGAGTTTGGGTCCTTGCACCGGACTTCCTCCCCTCAAATATCAGCCAAAGGTTGGACAGAACTTTTTTTATGTATGCTACAACAGCAGCAAGAATACTTATTGCAAAGCATTGGAAGACACAAAATCTACCCACACTGGAGGAATGGCAGATGAAAATGATGGACTATATGGAATTGGCGGAAATGACTGGTAGAATCCGAGACCAGGGAGAAGAGTCGGTGGAAGAAGATTGGAAGAAATTTAAAGACTACTTACAGAAATATTGCGAAATTAATGAATGTTAGAATGATGACGGATTGAAATTAAGCGGTTTCTAGCGGTAATGGTATAAAAGAATATGGAAAAATTGGTTTTTAATATCTAAAAATTTAATGTTATAATATATCAAGATTAAAGATCAGGATTAAAAAGGAGGGAAAGGTATCGCTGGACTAACAAATTGAACTAGAATACAAAAGAGGGAGGTATGAGGAGGTCCGGGAAACAAGTAAATGTAAAAGAAGTGATGAAAAGATGGAATTGTTTTTAACTGTTTTTTCTTTTTTGTACTTTGTATTTTGTATTTTTTCTTTTTATTGTTAAATTTCTTCTTAATGTGATCTTTTTCTTTTGAAATTTTAATAAATATCATATTAAAAAAAAAAATCAGCCAAAGGTTTTGCTTTTTTAAAAAAGCAACCCCAAAACTTTTGACCCAGGCACACATTAATGCTGCTGCTCACACAAGCATGGACAAAAAAAATGGGGGGTCAACTATGAGACTGTGTTGCCCCCACCTTTTTAAGGCCTGGACTACACAACAGTACACACAACAGCAATCACAGATATTTGACCGGGAGGCTCAGTTTAATGGGCTTTGGTGCAGGTAAGTAAGGAAAGGTAAAGGACCTCTGGACGGTTAAGTCCAGTCAGTCCGTCTCCACATCTGGGATGGGGAAATATAAGGAAGGGTTGTGGCAATGCTTGCTTCATTTCGCTTTGTTGAGTCAACTACCTAATTTATATACCACTTCACGGCAAAAAAGGACTTCTAAGCAGTATAAAAGTATGCAAACACAGGCATTAAAATATAAAAGACCTGTAATCAAAATATGCAATTAAAAATACACAGTAATACAGCAACAGCCATTGATTGAAATATGCGATAAAGCAATGTAATATGTTGTAATTTTTCTGTGCTCTTCCCAGGGAGCCAGCTCAAGGTCTTATTTATAAAAATATTTGCACATCGCTAGGTCATAAAATATATCAAAGGGGTTTACGACAATGTCTATATGTAATAAGCACACGTTGAAAAAATTAAAAATCACATTCTAACATTATAGCCACTACAACACGCCAGTGGCGCCTTCTGCCCCGATCCCTAAAAAACACAAATGCCCTAAAAAAACACAACATCCCTCTAGATCAGTCACCAATTCTAGCCTGATCCAGGAAAGTCTTACAATCAGCTACCAATAAGGACACCGTGAGGAGAGAGACTCCATCAGGCAAGGCCTTCTTCCACCTGCCTTGCTCCACCCTCTAGTCTTTGCTTCTCAATTTGTATTGTATTATTTTATGTACTGTGGCTTGCCGTTGTTTTATCGATTATACTTTAGAAATTATTTATTGTAACTGTTGAGTGGATTTCTCTTTAACTTTTATATGTTGATATTATTATTTTGTACTATTCTAATAATTGTTCTAATAATTAGAGGGACGCTGGTGGTGCTGTGGGTTAAACCACAGAGCCTAGGGTTTGCTGATCAGAAGGTTGGCGGTTCGAATCCCCGCGATGGGGTGAGCTCCCGTTGTCCGGTCCCGGCTACTGCCAACCTAGCAGTTTGAAAGCACATCAAAGTGCAAGTAGATAAATAGGTATTGCTCCGGTGGGAAGGCAAACGGCGTTTCCGTGCGCTGCTCTGGTTTGCCAGAAGCGACTTAGTCATGCTGGCCACATGACCCGGAAGCTGTACACCGGCTCCCTCGGCCAATAAAGCGAGATGAGCGCCGCAACCCCAGTCGGTCATGACTGGACCTAATGGTCAGGGGTCCCTTTACCTTTACTAATTGTTGAATGTTACTTTATTTGATGTAGGTTGCTTATTTTAAAGTTTTGTTTTATTATCACATTTTTGTATTGCATTAGATTGTTAAAAGGTGTACATTTTTTGTTTCTTCAGCTTGTAAACCGCCTTGAGTATTGTAAGATAGAAAGACGGCATACAAATAAGAAATGATGATGATGATGATGAAGACACGCTGCTGCCTCAGGCCAATGGTCCCTCTGGTCCAGCCTCCTGCTCTCGCAGTGGGAAACCAGATGTTGTGTGGCAAACCCACAATCAGGATTTGAACACAAGAGCCTTCTCGCCTCCTGAAGTTTCCAGCAACTGGTATTGGAAAGCACTGCTGACTCCAACTGTGGAGGACAGAGCGTAGCCATCCTGGGGAAAAGCCATCGATGGCTTCTCCTTCTCCATGAATTTGTCTAATCCTCCTTTAAAGCCATCTAGGTTGGAGGGAGGGAGGGAGTTCATTCCACAGTTTAACCAGGTGCTGTGCGATGAAGTCCTTTTTTTATCTGTCCTGAAAGAGAGGGTTTCCTTCCTTCTCACCTGAAGTGAACCATTAGTAGCAGCTGTACGAATAAAAAAACCAAACCAATAAGAATTGGGGGCTCTCCCACTATTTAAAAGAAATTCTTTCAGAAGTCTAAAATGAGCAGTAGCTGGAAAAGTGAGCCAGGAAACATTTCTCAAGAGCTACGAAGCGCTGTGGGCCAATGTGTAAGATGGCTCCAGAATCACATTTATTTATTCGTTTTGTTTTGGAAGATTTATTCAACCACTCAGTCAAAAAACTTTCGAAGTGGCCACACAGAGAATAAAACTGCACATCAAACACAGCCGAAACCTACCTGCAAAAAGAATTACCGTGAAAAGACACAGGTAAAAATTGGTAGAAATTGGTTTTAAAAAATATGGGTGCCTAAAATTGCACGCCTGGGCAAGCTTGCTGAAATAAAATGTTTATCGCTATTTGCAAAGCTGACACCATTTATTTAATACAGCGGTTCCCCATTAACTAAGTACTGTTTTTCAAAATCCAAGCCATGGACTTTTGAAAATTTTGATATCTGTTTGGTTGTTTTTGTTATGTGAACGGTGCCATGGACCTCCTCTGCTGACCAGCAACTGGGAACCATTGATTTAATGTATTACT